AGCGGCGAGTAATGAACGCCGTTGGTCTGACTCAGGGGCTTCTCTTTTTTCAACACTGGAGGCTGGTCATTGTCCTGGTAGGGAACAGGAGAGTTCTTCAGGGAGTTTTCAGGGGAGGAAATGGCTGTTATTTCTAAAGGCTGATTAATGTTATTGACCTGGGATAGGGAGAAAAAAAAATGTTAGATGAAAATATTCTTTTAGGAAAGAACTTCCTAAGACAAGAGTCACACTCACACTCAGCTTTAAGACTAGCTTAGTGCTTTAACACCAATAGTCAATGCTGTGCTTCAGTGTCACAACCCTAAAAATCCCAGACTCTGTTTGGCTCCTTTCGGAGCTATCGGGACTGAGTACTTGATCTTGAAGACAACAGAAGTAGACAGTTAAATGCATGGAGAAGAGAGGGCTAGAACATTTCACCTCAAATATCAATTTCAGATGTCATGATGAATGCAAGCTACCGATCCTCGTTAGGAACATCTGCTGTGCGTTTTATAATGCTTACTGAGTACCAGGTGCTTAAAGTCAATGGGACATAAGCACTCAAGTCACTTAATGAATTTATTTAGGCAGTAAAATTTAGATTTCACTATAAGCAAATATATTATGTTTCATGGGCACTTGGAGAGTCAGAATTACACCAAAATTGTAATGCCGCACAGTACTGATATGCCAAAAATATACCTCTACTTCAGGGGTGGGCAATAACTTTTGATGGGGGGCACTCCAACAATTTGGTAAGTGATCAAGGGCTGCGCTCTTCTTTGATATTAATGGAGGAAGCGCAGAGTGTGGGGATGCAGGCTGGGTGAAGAAGAGAGCCCAAGGAAGGGAACTGGGGTGCAGGAGGGGCTGTGGGGTTTAAGAGGGAGTTTGGGTAAAGGAAGGAGTTGTGACCTGGGGCAGGAGTGCAGGGTCCAGGAGGGGATTCGGGCCTGGGGGAGGGGAGTAGCATCTGGGAGGGAGTTGTGACCAGGTGCACAAGTTTCAGGGATGACCTGAGGCCAAGATTCAGGGTGTAGACATAAGTGGGGTGCCATGTGCAGGCTCTGACCAGGAAGCACTTACCCTAGGTGGCTCCCAGCCAGCAAAACCCTCAGGCAGGCTCTCTGCCTGCTGCGCTCCTGCATGCCACTCAAAGTGGCTGTCTGCAGGGGCCATTTGCATCTCTGCATGGGGTTTGCCCCCCGGGGGGAGGGGGGGCACTCTGTGAGCTGTCTGCGCCGATACCATGGCCAGGGCAGCTCCCAAGACTGTGCTGTGGGTGGGGGCAGTGAGAGTAGCATCCTCCCAGCAGCAGCGGGCAGTGCCAGGGCAGAGCCCCGCTGGGCCATGGGACAGTGACAGCCCTTCCCCTCTGCTCTACTTAGTTATAACTCCCATCATTCTTTTCCTTACCATGGAGTTAATATTGAGTGGTGACCCCGAGGGCTGTGTAAAGAGCCCAGCCACGGTTGGTAAGGATTTGCGTTTAGGGGACACCCCAGAATTCAGATTCAGATTCCCATTGGAGGATCTCTTCCTTCGACCACGTTTCTTCCCATCCTGCATGTGTGCTTGGCCACAGTCCATCCGAATGCTTGCAGCCAGGGGGCTGTGCTTGTTAGAAGGAGACTGTTTCACGCTTCCTGTACTAGGAGAAATCGTGAAGATGATTCTTCTCTTGGCCTCATTCTCCGGATCTGAAAAAGCGGCATCAGGCTGAAAATCTCCCTTTGTTCCTTCGGCAAACATCTTCTGTGCATCCCCGTACTGCAGTGCCCCTACCATACTCTGGGGGGCACCATTTAACTTGGGGCTTGCTGAGTGCTGGTGAGCTGGGGAGTTCTGCCCGGAGTTCCGTGACTGCAGCATTAGCAAAGAAGGGTGTTGTGGAGTGGAGCTCCGAGACCCCACAGAGCTAAACAGGCTCCCCGAGTCGTCCACAGCTGCCTGATCAACACCATGGTTAAGGTGGGCTGGGCTATTTGAAAGAGTTCCATTAACTGCCATGGAGCCAGAAGAATATGAAAAACCTGTTGAAAGGGAATGTATCGTTCAAGAAGAGCAAAGGTGCGTACTCTCCAGTGCGAGCAAGATTACATTTCTGGGATATATGGTTGTGACTATTTTCTTCCACTATTTGATCTGAGGAAGTGGGTCTGGCCCACGAAAGCTCATCATCTAATAAACCATCTTGTTAGTCTTTAAAGTGCTACATAGTCCTGTATTTTGTTTCAGCTACACCAGACTAACACGGCTACATCTCTATCACATTTCTGGGATATGTCTGCGTACAATTATTCCTCTCCGCATTAAGAAATTGGCAACCCCGGCAAAAGCAGTAACTGCGCTGAGCTCTGCAAGGCTGCTCTTCATACAGTGAAGCCAAGAACACCACTGGATGGGTTGGTGAACTAACTTACATCTGTCAGTTCACTCTGCTCCCTTTTACAGAATATGGGACCTTCTTACGTAACATGCAAGTGTCCTGCTTTTAGCCCATTTTCTGTCATTCCTCAAGTGCCTTCTCAGGAAAAATAGTTCACCTTGGATTAGAACCCACAAACCTGTGCGCCACACAGCAAGAGTCGGCCAGGTTCCTTTCAAACAGACCTGATCACCTGCAAACCTAGCGGCCCCTCCCCCCCTCCACACACACACCCCACCACCACCTCAAACCAAAAGGAAGAGGGAGAACACAGTGGTGGATCTTCAGTAAGTCAGGGGAGGGAAGGAACCCATGTGGGAGTTGAGGAAAAGGGGAGTAATTAAGCTCATTAGTATCAGCAGTGATGCATCATGCATGGAATTAGACTATAGTTCGGGCCTTCTGTCTTGGAATAGTTGGGACGCAGGAACCCGGTGTTACCCTGCAGCACCCTTTTGGCTAAGCAAGGAGTGTCTAGTGGCTTCAGAAGGAGCCACCTTCAGTCCTGCTCTGCTGAAAAAGCATTCATCCCCTCAAAGGCCCTGAGGGTGTGGTACCCAGAGGAACAATGACCATGCAAGTCGGATGAGGCTACAGCTGTGGAAGAGAGCTTCCTGCAGGCTATGCTGAAAGGCACTCACTGGTCTAAGAAGCCTGAATAAAAGGTCTCTGGGTGTTTGTGGGGAAACGGCTCCTGCCCCTTGTGAAGCTCCCAGTGTTGAGAATGGCAGTCAGGAAGTCAACAGCTGCCTTTCCAGACTATAGTAAAAGGCCCAGCTCATTTCTCTTACTCCAAGGGAACCCTGGCACAGTGCACCAACCACTGGGGAGCAACAGGATCCAGTAGTGGTGCAGCAGAAGGTAGGATGTCCCCAAGGCTGGGGAGACCCTTTGTTCATCCTTCATTTGTGCTGATGAGAGAAAGAACTGGAGGCAATATTCTGCCAGCGTTCCACATGGCAGCTGCAGCTAGAAGAACCAGGAGGCTAAGCGGGGCCCCAAACAGACACGCGGTGGCAGGAAGGTGAAGTCAATCGATACAGATACTAGAAGAGAGCCTAAGGGGGACTTCCCAGGCTAGGAGTTCAAGACTGATCTACAATAGTGTTTCTCAACCAGTGGTCCAAGTACCCTTAGGGTACTCGAGAGAAGTCTGGGGGGGTCCGTCAACACAACTGACATTCGGAGAAAACTGAATTTTTGTTTTAAGTTTTACAGCACTTCACTATTTTTGTACTTTTTACACTAAAAAATGTCATCGCCTGCCCAGCCACGATTACGTTGTTTAAACAAATGTGTTGCAATGGTAGAAAAAAAATTGTGTCTGAAAACTGTAGGTACTAGGGGTATTTTTTTTTAAAGGGGAGGTACTTGCTTTTTTTTTTTCTTTTTTTTTGAAACAGGGGCACTTTATAAAAAAAACGGTTGAGAAACGCTGTTCTACAAGAACCAACTGCCCATCGTGGTTTGTGAGTCTTGTCAGAACTGCCACACACGTTTCTGCCACTTAATCACCCTTCCTTTCATGCTTTTTCAGCCTGATTTCACCCCCAATCTAGGTTCTCCTCCTTAACCCAGAAACATCGAGCCTCTCCATACAGAACTGCACCATACATCCAGCTCCGAAACACCAGGGGCCATAGACTCCCAGTGCCCAAATGCTCAAGCACACGTAATAAAAGGAGGTTCTTCAGAGGGGAAATTCATTACCTGAGGTAGCCAAAGCCAGTGGCTTGTTTCCAGCAGCATTGCTCACACCATTATGAGAACTAGCACCAAACTGTTTTTCAAGTGTTGACAACGAGTCTCGATTCTGATGAACTGGACTAGGTGTGCTTCTCTGGAGGAAGCGAAAAAAAACACGGGCATTTCAATCCAGAGAGTTTATTCAATAGCTGTTCATTGAACAGAACTCACAGGCATTAGTGCATTCCATCGCTTTCGATCGCTCTGGATTGCCTAAACCTTCTGGGCTTTGTATATTTTCAGAAAATTACAGTTTAATTCCAGGCTGCCCAAACATCACCAAGCCAAGGGCTGCATTGGCAACTTGCTACTTCTCATTTGATGCGGCCTGCAGGGAGGGCATGTCACTATAATGCACCACTGCATGCAGAGACACGGGCTCTCAGCAGACCACACCGTCTGCACTAGCACGAGAACCAGACCATGGACTGCACGATGGGATCTCAGGAGCCTCATTGAGTGTCTCCTCAAGCTGCCATTGTCCATGCCCAGGGAATATTCCTCTTTCCCACCTGGAATAATAATCACCAACTGGCTGACCACAGGTCACCAGCAATGTACTGGTGCACAAACAGAGTTCTCAAGTAATCCCAAGAGCCTTGGTGACCTCCTGCTACTGGGCTGTAGTTTGTTTCTAGAACTGTTGGGCTCACATACCATGTCACAACCAAGAGCATAAGGAAGTGTTTCTTTTACACAGGTGGCAGTAGAGTTCCCAGGATAAGCCTTTGCTGACAACCCAAAGAGTGGAAAGGGACTGAAAGCGATTCCTCTCCTTGGAGGAAGAAAGGAGGAAACTCAAAAAGACGGAAAACGATGTACCCTTCGGTCTCATCTACGTCTGCAGCTATAAGCAAGGCACAGGTTTGTTTGGAATAGGGGGCCAACCCACCGCAGCTACATTATCTGTAATAGGGACTGCCTAGACATAGCCTAAGCACATTGCCACCACTAGGTCAGAGTTTGGCCTATGCAAGGGCTAGCCTGGTTACGGGACAGTTCCATCTCATCAACGACTTTTATTATCTACATTGACTTAGCATCCAGGAGTCCCAGTCACGGATCAGGATCCCATTGTGGCAGTGCTATATAAACACATCAAAGAGGGCTCCTCTGCCTTCAACTCAGGTCCTTCAATCCACAGCTACAGTGCAGACTGGAAAGGAGTAAAGGGCTGCAGCGTACCCTCAGTTCACACACAGTGAGGCGTGCACTCAGATTGAAGGCATGGTGCTATTCAAGTATTTCTGTTCTCAAGATACCTCCCTAAGCAATAAACCATCAGGAACCCTAGCCAGAGCCACACTCCCACCAGCTGTAAGTCAGCACAGGCCTGCTGACTTCCATAGAGCTACCCTGCGCTGCCCCACTACACGTACACACACAAGTGCGCACAGAAAGATTCACATGCTGTAGGCGCTCACAGACTTCAGAATCAAGTGCTCCCTCTGCCAAACCAGTTATCAGCCAACGCTGTGTGCCAAAGAAAGCCCTAATTCCCCAGGGCAGCAGTGTAACTCACTACCACTTCCTTCCATGTTAAGAGAAGTCTCCACCTGGAATGAAGATGACGGAGTTCTCCAACAACTGCAAGGCCTTTCGCTGGGAGAGGGGACAAGGGAGACCAACTACAATGCCCTCCAACTGCAGCTGCCTGTGGATCTGTGGGACAATGGGCTTTGGGGGGACGTGTATGCCCAACTGCATGCTGCTGCACAAAGATGTACTGGTGAACTGCTGGACAGGACTCAAACACCACGACGGGGTCACAATCTGGAAAGCATCCAGCCAGCGTGAGATGGTTCAGTGGGCTGAGAGGGGAGCCATTAACCCTCCTTTTGCCCCCCAACCCTGCCACACTACCATCCAGACCGATTCCAAACCCATGTTCCCCCCGGGAAGGGAGTAAACACTTCTTGCTCATCTGATCCGCCCTCCTTCACTGTCCTTTTCATGCTCTTCCCCCTGGAAATACACCCCAGCACAGAAAATAAATACGGGTCCCAAAACACTTTCAGGTGTAAAACCTGAAAAGTCAACCCCACTGCAACAGCTCGTGCTTGGCATGTGCCCATTTCACAGCACGGCACAAACGCAACCTAGGAAGTCGCAGCTGAGCTGAAATGAGCAGTTGGGATTCTTAACTCACAGTTCCATGCCCTACCCATGAGGCTATGTCTGCCTCTCCAGCATGCCACAAATTCAGAACACAAGCTGTTCGGGACAGGGACATCCTCTCTCCCCCTGTCCAGGGCACATGCTGACCTAACAAACACTAGATCCAAGGTCAAGGTAGAGCCAGCATCAGCAGTCACTCCAAAAGTATCAATGATAAGTAATCTAGCTCAACATCCTGGCCAGGACTCTGGTGCACCGTATGCGATTATTGCCCAGTTTGGTTTTCAGTTAGGGATGGAAAGTGTTGACAATCCCTTACTCACCACCTTCTCAACACGGCTAGGTAGGACTACGCTGGCCAGAGGGATACTAACAGGGAGTTTATTGGGCTGCACCGTGCTGAGAGGAATACTGATAGGTAGGCTGGTGATAGTTTCTCCATTACTTGCAGAAGTCCTCTCTCGCAAAACCTGCAAACACACAAGCAGCCTGTTTCAAATGGGGGCTTGTTACTAGTAAAAGTTTCCCCGACCACGACCAAGCCATGCGATCTCTTAGCATACGCTAAGAAATAGATCTTAGAATACATCTTGATATAAAGTACACCGTGTACGTTTCCCCCATATACTATCCTGCTTCATTTGTTCCCATCAGGCTGCATGTTACATCCAAGAAATGGGTGTCTGGGAAGGTCGGGTGCATTACAAAGACAGCCTTTCAATTCAGCCAATGACAACCCACCGCAACCACAGAGGAGTGCCAGTGTCCAAAGGAATCTGGAGTAGATCACCTTGGGCCAGAGGATGGAGGCTCGAATGTGGGCCTCAAAGGGCAGGGCGGAGCTGGGGGTGAGGGGGGAATTTTTCGAAAGCTTGTTTCCCCAAATATCTGCGAAGATGTGGGGAGTCACAGCCTCTTATTCCTTAAAACGTGCCTACATGAGAAATATAAGCCTGCACTTGTGAGAAAGAAAGGTGCCTGTCGAACAGAACTGTAGACAGAAACTCTCTGTCCACGGAATAGATACAGAGCAGGCAGCAGCATGACAAATTTCCTAGCACTACCACCGGGTGGTGTGCATCAACTTGACTCCGGAATGGGTGCTGCTACATGGGAGAGGACAGTTCACACACAGTGGTACATTCTCTCCTCAGCCTCTCCATGGGACCAATGCCCAAGTGATGGGAGGGGGGACTGGTCATGTAGACAAGTGCTCACTCAGAACTCGAGTAACACCACCTACTCACTTTATTGAGTTCACTGAGACAGCATCAGGTAGCATTACAGCTTTTGGTCACTGCCAACCTAGCTTGTGACCAGAGTCTCTCTATTCTCCAGTTTCTTCTTTTGACATCTTGGACATCACACCCAATGCTCAATTGACCTTTCCTATGGCTACCAGTAAAGAGCAAAATTCACAACCTCTAGCTTAGTGCTTTTATGGTTTGGCTCCATGAGAAGCATCATGTCTGTTGCCAGCTCTGTGTAGAGCAGCCAGTCCATCCCTTACCTTCTCTCCTGCAATCGGTAAGGCCGCTGGGGAAGAGGGCCGAGTTTCCTGAGGACTCAGCTTTATGCCATTTGAAATTCCAGGGCTTGGATATGTAAGGCCATTCTCTTTTACATGGTCAGCTCTGGAACAAAGATGCACAGAATTAGCTTTTGCTTTCTATTGCTCTTTTCCAAAATTAATTCCTGTTTCAAACTCAAGGCATTACTGCCTTGCTTACCTGATCAACTGCCCTTGTTGAATATACTAGCTAAGGGCTATGCCACAAAGCTTTACCACACTAGAATCTAAACGGAGATTCTACTTCTATTGTCTGTAGATATTACCAGCAACACGACAAGCATTACCGCACCTCATTTCCCAACACAGGAACTGACCACTCTCACCTCTGATGTATCTCATTAGTTGTTGCTTTTCCATTGACTGCATGGTCCTGATTCAAGTGTCTCCTTAGGACTATCTTAGCTGGGGAAAACCTGGTGTAATCAGGTAAGGACAAGCTTGCTGTCTTGTCCACCTTCTGTCTGCTGCTGTGGTTTGGGGTGCAAGGGATTATTTCTTGGTCCAGGTGAGAGGTCATGTATTGAGGGGTATTCTGCTTAGAAGAGGGCCTGCTAAGAGCATTATGGATTTCATAGGGAGTAGCATGGCCATTCATGGACAGTTCAGGGCTCATGCCATTGATGTGAGGCATAGGAAATTTAGAGCACTCAAGCTCAAGTTGGAATCTGCCGTGATCAGCCTCAGTCTCACGGCCTAAACGATTTTTATTGCGTAGTTGTACCGACAGAGATTCATCGGGCGGCATATACGATTTCAGCTGCATGAGCTCCTGCTGCCTTTGACTTTTCTCAAGCTCCACAATGCTGATCTTTAAATGAAGAGGAGGACAAGGATTAAAGACTAGACCTACAAATTATACCACATTTTGGAGTTTTCCCTTCCAGATGCTTCTCAGAAAAAGTGTTCCTTTTTTTGGATGATAACTCAAAGCAAATAATCTAGGATTTAAAAAACAAAATTTCAATACACGCTCTGGATTTGTGAAACAAAAGACAGAGGTAGAAAAAAGAAATGTTCACACAAAAGTAGTGAACATCTCGCGCATGTGAGACAATTTCCAATAAAGAGCGTAAAAAGTCAGATTTAAATCAAAATACAGCCCAATTTAACAATATAGGAAGATGGGGGGCGGGAGGGAGATACCATATACAAAAAAGGTACAACCAAGGTACAACATTTGGACTGGGTTACAACTTCCTATGAGAAGCCAAGAGAACCAACCCCAGGTGAAAAGAAAGGTCCTCTTGGCAAGATATTTCTATGGGAAGAGAAGTGTGACATGAAACACAGGAGATACAATATGGGTGCAACAGAACTAAACAGAATAAAACCAGTTGGACCTTTCTTTTCACCAGACAACGCATTTTAAGGAAACAGAGAACAGCTGATAAACCAATGCTCGGGTTCAAAAGCTCAGAGCAATACTGGAAGCCAAGCAAATTTCCATTACTTGCCCTTTATACACCTGAAATGTTATCTGAAGCTTTGATCTTCCTAGTTGTATTAACCCCTGCTAATCATTTTGCCATTACGCTACCATAGCAGCAGCCAGATGTATGTTCCAATATCATATTATGCAAAAAACATCATCATCATCACGTGCCCTAACTGGAAAACAAGCTGAATGCAACTTGGAGCGGGTGGCACTAAATTTGCTCCTGGTTCTACCTGCAATTCCAAACAGTGCTTTTGTTTCTCGGAAATCTGATTTTTCAGTGCCTGCTTTTCCTTCAGTAAGCTCTCCAGGGACAGTGTTGACCAATCCAGCTTCAGTTCTTCGCATCGTGCTTTAAGCTGCAAGAGTATTAAAGGCTTGGTCAGAAATATAATTCAAAATTCCAAATGATTAATGGGGCATGGCAGACTCCCACCCTCCTCCCCACTGACATTTGGAAGGCAACGTCTATCATACTGAAAACTAAACCCCAGAAAAATTGGTTTCCAATCCCAATTGATGCAGCTGGAAGTGGGTCCTATAGGCTCTGTAAGGTGTGTTACTCAACATCCCTAGATGCTTCTGCATTCAGCTTCTCCCATCCCAACATTAACTGCGTGAGCTGCTGAGAGTGGTAGAGATATAAAATGATAGCAACAGCAAGTGAGCCCCGGGCAAACTTCCTCACCACAGTGTTCTATGACCCCAACTGTGAACTGCTATCCCGTATGTGCAGAGTATGTCTGCCCAGCCATGTACCGTGGATAAAGTTGCGGGCACCCAAATCAAATCACATCAGAATATTTCTGGATTTAAATGAAAACTTCCATGAGAATGGCACACCCACCCCACCCTTTGGATCAAGATTCCTTCTTTTGAAATGCATTTGATTCAGAATTAAGAGAAAAAAGAATGCAACTGTTTTCTGAAGCCAAAAAGTTTAGGGCTAAAGGAAAGCCACAGGCAGTGTAGGAACCAAACAGTGAGCACAAGAACTGGACACATCAGCTCTTCCCATCACCAACACAGCATTCTCTGCATGTATAACATTCTTCTAGGCTCTAGAGGAACTAAGATTTCCGTTCCATTTTTGTACTCATTAAGATACAAAAAGAAAACAGCAGTTCAAGTCCTGCCATCTATATATAACGACCATCATTTGGCTCACACATTGCTAGTCAGATGGAAGCACAGTACGCACCAGCTGCAAGCTCTGATTCCTGAGTTCACTGTTATCTTTCTCCAGCTGCTTTGTCTGTTCCTTCAGCTGCTGGTTGTGAGCAGAAATCTCCTTCTGAGCCTGAATCAGGTCATTATACGTCAGAGCCTTAACTCCCAACTACAGGATGAGAAAGGGTTAGATTAAAGTGTGACTCAGTATTCCAATTCCAGACACTACACACACACACACACACACACACACACACACACACACACACACAGTATTTCACAGTTCTATGTTGCCCATCATTCAAGAACTCACCCCACTTTCACAGTCCTGTTAAAAACTCCCTAACATTTCTGAGCAGCAATTTATCACCATCATCATTCCCACATTATGGATGGGAGCGGAGGCAGAAAGGTGAGATGTCTTGTGCAGTCACAAACAAGCCACTAGCAAAGCTGGGAATACAACCCAGGGACTGACCCTCTAGTCGGATCATATGACCAAGTGACTAGTCGCTCTTTCCCCCCTACCCCTTGCTGTCTCTATCAGAGAGAGGCAGCAAGGGGGGAGGGAGCAGGAGCTAGTGGAGCCACCTTAAAAGCTGATGGAAATTCCATTCATTAGTCCATTAGCTGATTAAAACTTTTTTTTTTTTTTTTGCTGCAAGATGGCTATCTTTCAGGACCAGACTTCAGAGAGAAACTTCTGAGCTGCAGTTCATCTGCAAATTTGACACCATCAGCTCAGGATTAAACAAAGACTGTGTATGGCTAGCCAGTTACTAAAACACTGTCTCCTCTCTTGGTGTTCACACCTCCAGATCAGCTGCCAGAAGTGGGTCTCCTCCTCCCTGACTGAATTAACCTCCTTATCTCTAGCCTGATTCTTGCCTGCATATTTATACCTGCCTCTGGAAATTTCCACTACATGCATCTGACAAAGTGGATCTGTGCCCACAAAAGCTTATGCTCCAATACATCTGTTAGTCTATAAGGCGCTACAGGACTCTTTGTTGCTTTTGCAGATGCAGACTAACACGGCTACGCCTCTGATACTTGTCCAGATGGGCAGCTACTGATTCATCCCACCATGGTTATTTATCAGAACAGCACAGCATCTTGTTGAGGTTTGTTGTGCAGATGAATGAAATCCCTGGTTCGATTCCAAGTGTGTTCTGTTCTCCCACTTCATAAGCAGAAGTGGCTGGGGTCTTAAATCCACAAATAAAATGGTACAGTGATAACACCAACACTAAATCTGCAGATCACCAACGTGCACGTGTGAAGATTTTGGAGAATGATTGGGCAGACTTAGCAAGTCTGCTCAACTAGGGAAAAGAAGTGTTTTCTGGGGGATCTTTTGTTACCGAATGGAATTCAGCCCAGGACTAACACACCTCCTGGGATCAAGGCCTGGTGGTGGGACTGTTAAGCCACCACTTAAGCCACAGTGATGGACAGGACAAGAGAAGGAAATACACTCCGCTGTCCAGCCACCAGCAGGTAAGAGCCAAGATGTCAAAGGCAGAGAAACACTTCAATTACACTGGATTATTACTTCCTAGCATGGATATTTCTCTGCAAACATTCACTGTCAGTCCATTTGCACCAGGCTAACCCATACCTCATCAAGTTTCTGTTGAAAAAGCCGTTTGATTTCCTCTTTCTGTGCCTGGCAGTGGGTGAATAACTGTTGTGCTGTCCCCAGTAACTGAGCATTCTTTTCCTGAAAAAGTAAAACAAAACAAAAAAGGAATAGCAAAGTTTACATCATACGTCCCCTTTAATATAGGTGTGAAATTCCATCTCAGAAATTAGCATTTCAGATATATAGATGCCTACACAGACACAGGAACCCTATCTTAACAGTAAGACCTATTGGTGGTATGGTCTTCCAAGATCAACACGGCAAGTCCCATCACCTGAAATATTAAAAACTGTACTGCACAATTAAGAATGATCCTGCACTAGAAAAGAAAATGAACTAGACTGCTTCATAGATTCTGCAGTTCTGTGTTTGCTAGAGTTTAACACAGTGGGTGAAAATATATTTTTTAAAAGTACACAGCTATTTATTTACAGACTTTTCTGTAATATTCATCAGGATAATCTCTCAGTAGTTCAGACTTCTCTTCCCAGCACACTTGAGTGATAGGGAAGCACCAACCATAGTTTAATCATGAGAAACTGAAACACAAGGAGATAAAATAACTCGCCAAGGACACACACTAAGTCTGTGGCTGAGCTGGGAATAGAACACAGACACCTCACAGAACATGCTTCAAAGAATTTCAGTAAATGAAAGTATGTCAGGGAAAATTGGGACTACGTTAAGTCACTTCCTCCTGAAGCCTCTCTCAATTTTTCATATAGAATTCATGCCACTTGTTTTGACTTCTAGGACAATTCATGGACATTACATTCACCCGACTACCACAAGGAACCCTTACAATCTTACCTCTCTTTCAGTCTCACACTCACTATTCTCAGAAAAGGCAGGAGAAGAACTGAGCAAAGAATTTCAAATGTATATGAAAACAGGGACTGGGCAGGGGAAAAGGAGCACAACTCTATGATTCCTTCCCATTTATATCCCAACTCTAGGTGGATTTTCTGCAGAGACAAAGCATTCACTGCCAACGGCTGAAGAAGGGAAAAAGAAAGGGTGTTGCACTCAGGAGCAACTGGATAAAGAGCAATGTTCTGCACATTGGGGAAAATACAGCATATTACATTCATCCACAATCAAAACCCCTCTGTCACCTACTCCAAGGGTTTGGGAAAGGAGAATGGCACAATCACCATGGCACTAAACCCACTGCTTAGGGGAGGCTGTGAAATCACTTCTTCTGTGGATACCTTGCATTTCATTTAGAGTTAAGGCAGCACAGTAGCTCCATCTAAGGGCACATTTGTGCATTTCATAGTATCTTGCTGAGCAGCTTTATTTATTTTTTGTAGTAAGTCACAAAGGCAGAGGCAGTATTGTAACCAGTATGCACAATAGAACCAGTTATTTAGCCAGAACAGATTGCATTCAGGTTACACAATTTTTAACTAGTGACTCTACACGCCACGAAGAGACTTTTGACTTACAAATAGTGTTTCACGTGTTGGTTTCCTTAAGGTAGCAAAAGGTATCAGAAACCACCACCGTACAGTCTGAAATCACTGTGCAAGAGGGCAGAGTTAACTTTATGCTGCTCACTGTCCTGACACCAAGCTTGAGAACAGAAGGATTTTTTGTCCCCCATTTCTTAAGGGACCTTGAGACGAAGTGATGTTCAAAGCGCTTCTGGCCCAGTGAATGCAGCAAGCAGCATTTGGTTACTTCCAGCAAAGGCACAGCACCAGCCTTCCCATATGGAGAACAATCTATCAGGTCTGTGAAAGTCTAGTGACTTGATGCTATTACCCTGGATTATGTATTTCATAAAAGTCACATCATAGGAAAAAATCCAGCAGCATTCTTCTCAGACTGCCAAAGGCCTAGAAATAATAGACCCAAAGTGTTGAGCATTAAAATTTAACTGTGTAGGCAGAGTTGTGTGGAGGAATAAGAGAACTGTTACTTACCTGTAACTGCTGTTCTTCGAGATGTGTTGCTCATGTCCATTCGAATTAGGTGTACGCACCGTGTGCACCGCATCCTCCGGAGCGTTTTCCCTAGCGGTACCCTTAGCGCCGGCAGGGCGCCCCTTGGAGTGGCGCTGCCATGGCGGGGCGCAAGTACCTCTGCCTGCGCTCCCCTACCTCAGTTCCTTCTTGATGGACGCTCCAACGAAGAGGAGGTAAGGGGGTAATCAAATGGACACAAGCAACACATCTCGAAGAACAACAGTTACAGGTAAGTAACTGTTCTTTTCTTCTTTGAGTGGTTGCTCATGTCCATTCGAATTAGGTGACTTCCAAGCCAACCCCACTCCAAGGAGGAGGAGTCGGAGCACTCAAAGAGAAGTCCACGAAAGTTGAACAATCTGAACAAATTTATTCAACTAAGCAAACACAGAAAACTGTAGAAAGTGCAATGTGATACAAATAAAACAAACATTTACAATACAGAGCTGAGGACTGCAGAGCCCAACCCTGCGTCCTCCCTAGTCTGCTGTGCCAGCGCGTAATGCACCGTAACAGTATGGAGCGACGACCACGTGGCCGCCCTGCAGATTTCAGTGATTGGAACCTGCGCCCCAAAAGCTAAAGGGGATGCCTGCGCCCTGGTGGAATGTGCTGTAACCCGGGGCGGGACCTTCCCGGCCAAGGCATAACACTCCCTGATACACTCTGCGACCCAATTGGACAACCTCTGGGTCGATATGGGAAGCCCTTTCATTCTGCCAGCAACAATAACAAACAATTGAGTGGACTTGCGAAAAGGTTTAGTCCTGTCAATATAAAAGGCTAGCGCACGTCTAGCATCCAGGGAATGGAGCACTTGCTCCTTAGGGGAGGAGTGGGTCTTTGGAAAGAAAACCAGGAGGTAGATTTCTTGGGACAAATGGAACGGTGACACCGCCTTGGGGAGAAAAGCAGGGTGAGGGCGGAGCCTCACACTGTCAGTAAACACTAGGTAGGGCGGGTTTACCGTTAACGCCCTCAGATCGGAGACCCTGCGAGCTGACGTAATGGCCACAATGAATGCAACTTTCATAGAGAGGTGCTTCAAAGAGCACGTGGCCGGCGGCTCAAAGGGGGGGCGACACAAGTCTAGACAAAACAAGGTTACGGTCCCAAGCGGGGAGAGGGGGTCTAACCAAGGGATACAACTTATCCAAACCCTTAAGGAACCTTTTGACCATAGGGTCAGAAAACAGAGACACTCCTGCCAAACCAACATGGAAGGCAAAGAGTGATGCCACATGGACTTTGATAGAGGAGTTAGAGAGGCCACTGGACCTAAGTTCAAAGAGGTAGTCCAGAATGGACAGGACAGGTGCACAGGACGGGTGCACTCCCCTTTTGGACGCCCAAGACGAGAAGCGCCACCACTTGGCTGTGTACGACCGCCTGGTAGACAGTTTCCTACTACTTAGGAGCAACATCTGAACCTCCTGGGAACATTCCCTTTCCGGTTGGGTCAGCCACGGATAAACCAGGCCATCAGGTGGAAAGAGCTGAGATTCAGGTGAACCATGGTCCCCCGGTCCCAAGGTTGGGTCAGGAGGTCCCAAACCAGCGGGAGCGTTATAGGGTCCTTGGTGAGCATGTCCCCCAGAATAGGGAACCAGAATTGCCTGGGCCACCAAGGGGCTACCAGGATGACCGTGGACCTGAAGATCTTGACCCTGGTCAGAACCCTGGGAATTAGGGGAAACGGAGGGAAAGCATAAACGATGCCCACCGGCCACAGTATGGTCATGGCAACCCCCTGGAATGTTCCCCCAGCCCCAGCAGGGAGCAGTAGCTTTGGCACTTGGTGTTGCGTGCTGAGGCAAACAGGTCTACTAGGGGACAACCCCACCTGTGGAAGACGTGATGAAGGGCCGAATCCTTGAGCGACCACTCGTGGGCTCCGAAGGACCTGCTCAGAGCATCAGCCAGCACCCTAAGTTTTTGCACCCCGGCAGGTTCTCTGCCTGCAAAACTATGTTGTCCTCTATGCACAGGACCCAGACACACAGTGCCTCAAGGCAGAGGGGAGGCGACCGGGCTCCCCTCTGCCTGTTGAGGTAAAACACAGCCACCGTGTTGTCCAGGAGGACCAGGACAGAGCAGCGAGAGAGCTTCGACAGGAAGCCCGCTCTGCTGGGGACCATAAACCCCCAAGTGCGCTCCCCAACCCAGGTCAGAAGCATCTGTGACCAGTGTAAGCGAGGGGGGAAGTACAGTGAACAGGACCCCGCTGCACACCACCGCCTCATAGGTCCATCATTGTAGGGAGGCTATCCCCTCCGGTGGCACTGTTGGAACTGTGTCCCAGAGACCCCTGGCCTGGTTGAATGCCCTTGCCAACCAGGCCTGCATGGCGTACGACATAAGTACACGCCGCCATGTGTCCCAGCAGCCTCGAGCAGACCTGGGCTGTCGTGATAGGGAATTAAGTTAACTCGGAAACCAGCTCCACTATGGACAGAAACCTGGCTCCGGGGAGGAGTGCTCTCGCCACCCTGGCATCCAGAAGGGCACCTACGAATTCGAGGTGCTGGGAGGGAGTCAACAATGACTTTTCCTCGTTTAGAATAAGTCTCAGCCTTATGAAGAAAGCCGTTGTGAGGGAAACATGGGCCTCCACTTGCTCATAGGAACGACCATGAATCAGCCAGTCTTCTAGGTACGGAAAAACATGTACCCCTTTTTTGCGGAGGAAAAACTACGACTGCCATGCATTTTGTAAAGACCCTGGGTGCTGTTGAAAGGCCAAATGGGAGCACTGTAAATTGGAAGTGGCATCGGGAAACAATAAAACGGAGAAACCTCCTGTGGCTGGGTCTTATTGCCACATGGAAGTAAGTGTCCTCGAGATAGGAGACTGGTACGCAACTCTCGAACTGTAAAACCGGAATGACAGAAGCCAGGGTTACCATTTTGAACTTGGGCTGCTGGGAGGGACCTTGACCAACCCCACAGGAGCTGTCCCCTCTCGGGCGGCGGCGGCAACCCCTTGCGGAGGATGGGCCCACAGCAGCCCCCACACTCCCACTGGGAGCACGAGGACATAATCCCCACAGGGGACCTGGGACTACGTTCTCCCTTGCTGTCTGTAGGGCAGCTGACGACACTGAGGGGCCGGCGTGTGAATCCCCAAGGACTGTAGGGTAGACCTCATGTCTTTAAGGGTATAGAGTCTGGAGTCCGTATGCTCCGAAAACAAGGCTTTCCTGTCAAACAGCAAGTCCTGGATGGTGGTTTGGACGTCCGGGGGTATACCAGACACCTGCAGCCAGGCACCATGGCGCATAACCCCACTTGACACCATGGTGCGGGCTGCCGAGTTGACAGCGTCCAGGGAAGCCTGGAGGGCCGTGCAGGCAATGGTTCTGCCCTCAGAGGTCATGGTCGCAAACTCCTGACAGGCCTCGGCAGACAGCTTGTCCTTAAACTTATCTACAGCCTGCCAGGTATTAAAAGCGTAATGACTCAGCATGGCTTGCTGGTTAGCAATGCGGAGTTGTACCCCACCAGTGGCATACACCTTACAGCCCATCGGGTCAAGGCGCTTGGGCTCCCTCGCTTCCGGGGACGGCCCCAGCTGGGGAAGCCTCTCCTTTTGGGCTGCAGCCTGAACCACCAAGGACCCCGGAACAGGTTGGGAGTACAAGTGTTCATGCCCCGACTGGGGAATGTAAGAACGTAATAGCGCCTCTCGACTCCTTTTAAGGTAGGGGTCAGGGTCGCCGGAGTCTGCCACAGGGCATTGGTAATTTTTGCCACGGTTTTATTAAGTGGCAAAGCCAAGCGGGTGGGCGCATCATCCAAGAGGATGTCAATCATGGGATCCGTGTCCTCCACTACAGGTTCCACTGGGACATCCAGACTGGAGGCCAGTCGCCTAAGCAGATCCTGATGCGTTCGAGCATCCATAGTAGGCAACGCTGTTGCGGGATCCATCAAGGCTTCATCAGGAGATGACGATGACACCTGGATCAGTGCCAGACCCACCGTAGAAACCGGTTGAGGCACCGGCTGGGAAGGCAGTACTGCTTGTGGAAGCGGCTCCGATACCAAGGCCTGTGGCTCAGCAGTGGCATCTGTAGCAACCGACCTCTGGGGAGGAGGGAGGGGGTCGTGACAGCGACGGCTGCACTCGGTGCCCTGAGGCACCAGACACCACAGAGGAGGGCACAGGCCCCTGCCACTGGTGGTAAGCCCACAGCGTCCAGAAGGGCCATTGCGGTTGAGGCGGCCAAGTCTGCTGCACCTGCGAATGATCATGCCAGGAATGGGACCTATGAACCGAGGAAGCTCCTGAGAACTCCGACCTGAACAACGCTGCATCAGAATCCGATGAGTAGTCAGACTCCGGCCAGGGAGGCGCAGATGACGAATGTCCTGTCACTGATGGAGGAGCAAACTTGGCCATTGCACTCGGGCAAACCCGAGTCTCTCGATGAGGGCATGCTGGCACCAGGAAGACCAGTCCCAGTGCTGGTGCCTGTTGCGGCACCAGGAGAACAGGTCCCATGCCAGGAATGGGACCTATGAACCGAGGAAGCTCCTGAGAACTCCGACCTGAACAACGCTGCATCAGAATCCGATGAGTAGTCAGACTCCGGCCAGGGAGGCGCAGATGACGAATGTCCTGTCACTGATGGAGGAGCAAACTTGGCCATTGCACTCGGGCAAACCCGAGTCTCTCGATGAGGGCATGCTGGCACCAGGAAGACCAGTCCCAGTGCTGGTGCCTGTTGCGGCACCAGGAGAACAGGTCCCAGTGCCGTGAGTGGAGCCAGCTGCAGCACCGGGAAAACCGGTCCCAGTGTCTGGGGTAGGGTTGATGCCAGGAGAACAGATCCCGGTGCCCGGAGTGGAGCTGGTTGCGGCACTGGGAGGACTGGTCTCAGTGTTGGTGCCGGTTGTGGTGCCAACATGGATGGCTGCGGTGCCAAAGTCGGTATCGTTTGCGAGACGAACCCCGAAGAAGTCAACTTCATCGGCGATGGCGGGACCGACATGGCCCATGGGGCCAGTGCCAGTGATGGTGCCGAAACATGCATCGGTGCTGAAGAGGCTGATGCTGAAGGGTCCAGTGCCGACGACTAGAACGGCACCCCAGGAAAGCTGCTCAGCGCTGGTATCGAAGATGATGATGGTGCCGTAGATGTTGCCGTGAGGCCAGGGTTATACGGCACTAGTGCAGCCAAGACGGGGTCTAGTAGGCGACCCAGCACCGAGGGAGGTCGAGCCCAGTAACCCCTCTGCCTCAACCGACGACAGGGGGGAGGTAGCGAGGCTAATAAGGTCATGCGCCGCCTCAAAGGTGTCCGGTATGGAGGGATGGTGTGAGGGTAGTTGCCCTGGACTGGATGGACGTCCCGCTCGCTTACGCCTCACCATGGTGGATGAGGACATGTGCACCGGAGACTCAGCACCGCGGTGTAGGCTCAACTTGGACTTCCGGCTAGGAGACGTACCACAAGACGCTCTCAACCTCTTCGGAGCCAGAGAGTGAGACCGGTGCCGGGCCCTCAACGCCGAGGCTCGGTCCCGAGATGGAGCATCTCGCGTGGATGCCGGTGCACTGCGCGCTGCAGAGTGCCCAGCAGGTGCCGGCTGTAAAGCCGCCTCCATGAGGAGAAGGTTTAAACGAGTCTCTCTCTCCCTCTTAGTGCTCGGCTTAAATGACTTGCAGATCTTACAGGTGTCTGTCTGTAAGATGGCCCTCACTCAGACACTTCAGACAACTGTCATGGGTGTCTCCTTTGGGCATGAACTTTGCGCAGACAGCGCACGCCTTAAAGCCTTGCGGCCCTGGCATTCCTCACCCCTGAAGGGGGAGAAGGAAAAACAACGAGACACTAATTATCTAACTAACTGAACTATTTAGAACTATCCACAATACTAAAAGAAACAGGAACCATTAACTGATCTAAGAGGGAGACACACTCCATCGACCATCATGGGCAGTAAGAAGGAACTGAGGTGGGGGAGCGCTGTCAGGGGTACTTATGCCCCGCCATGGTGGCACCACTCCAGGGGGCGCCCTGCCAACGCTACGGGTACCGCTAGGGAAAACACTCCAGAAGACGCGGTGCACGTGGTGCGCACACCTAATTCAAATGGACATGAGCAACCACTCGAAGAATTATTCTTACTACATACTAGTAATCCCTAATTTGCAAGGGCATTAATTAATTCCCTAGCTGAGACAAAAGCAAGGAAGAAAAGGTATTTGAATAGTACTCCCTCTGCTGGTCAGATCATTCTACTGCAGCAGAAAATTCTGCAGGAAAGGCTGAAAGAAAATTTGTCATCAGCAAGTATTAATTTTACCCAAAAATACATTTTTTCAGGCCCAGAACTATTTGCAAATTCAGTCCAACTTTGGCAAACTGCTTTAGCCAAAAGACATGAAGAGTTTCAAAAGCACCCAATCAACTCCATATTTTGTCAATCAAACCAAGCAAATGTTTCTGTTTTTCATTTTGCAGGAGGGGAGGGGTAGAAGAAAAATTAGTTTTGGTTCAAAACATACAAGGATTTTTTTTTTTTTTGGTTCAGCTACTACACCAAATTATTATTTGCTCAGCTTCAACTGAAGACTCACGCATAATAAATTTTACAATTATAATGCTTTCCATTAGGCTCTTAAGCATCTTACCGACATCACACAAGGTATTTATAATATGCCCCAACACCTACAGCTATTTATCCAATCTACTTTGTGACACTTGGCTATTTCATTACTTTATTTAGTTCTTCCATTTATTATAAAGTGAACAAACCGTCCTGATTTTAAATTGATTTGAGGGTTATGGTCTATGGTTCATTGCAATTCCCGGTTTCTGCACATACTGTAGAGTCGGTATTTTCACACAGATGAGCTTTCAATGGACACTTTAATCCAGAAAACCAGAATAAGGGCTATTTTATATTCGCTAGCTACATTAAGCACAAATAGAATTGTCCCATATGACCCATCTATGAGCTCAGAATAGGACTCTGAGCCACAGTTACCTGACAGAGATAATCCTTTCCAAACTGGGTAAAATGCCACGTTACTTTTGGTCACGTCCTCTCCTGAAGCTCATCAGGCAGAGAGCAGACAGACAGGTAAGGTGCTGAAGAGGCTGATGCTGAAGGGTCCAGTGCCGACGACTAGAACGGCACCCCAGGAAAGCTGCTCAGCGCTGGTATCGAAGATGATGATGGTGCCGTAGATGTTGCCGTGAGGCCAGGGTTATACGGCACTAGTGCAGCCAAGACGGGGTCTAGTAGGCGACCCAGCACCGAGGGAGGTCGAGCCCAGTAGAGCGCCGAGTGAAGCCTGGCGGCCTGCGCCGAGGCCAGCACTGACGTGAAGGCAAGCGGGACTGGTCCCACAGGGGACGGTCCTGCTGCATAAGCGACCGGTGCCGTCCAGTCACGTCGGTGCTGAGGCAAAACCGGTGCCAACACGGCCTCCGGCGTAGGTGACTCCACCTCAACCTCTCCACATACCTCAACCCCTCTGCCTCAACCGACGACAGGGGGGAGGTAGCGAGGCTAATAAGGTCATGCGCCGCCTCAAAGGTGTCCGGTATGGAGGGATGGTGTGAGGGTAGTTGCCCTGGACTGGATGGACGTCCCGCTCGCTTACGCCTCACCATGGTGGATGAGGACATGTGCACCGGAGACTCAGCACCGCGGTGTAGGCTCAACTTGGACTTCCGGCTAGGAGACGTACCACAAGACGCTCTCAACCTCTTCGGAGCCAGAGAGTGAGACCGGTGCCGGGCCCTCAACGCCGAGGCTCGGTCCCGAGATGGAGCATCTCGCGTGGATGCCGGTGCACTGCGCGCTGCAGAGTGCCCAGCAGGTGCCGGCTGTAAAGCCGCCTCCATGAGGAGAAGTTTTAAACGAGTCTCTCTCTCCCTCTTAGTGCTCGGCTTAAATGACTTGCAGATCTTACAGGTGTCTGTCTGTAAGATGGCCCTCACTCAGACACTTCAGACAACTGTCATGGGTGTCTCCTTTGGGCATGAACTTTGCGCAGACAGCGCACGCCTTAAAGCCTTGCGGCCCTGGCATTCCTCACCCCTGAAGGGGGAGAAGGAAAAACAACGAGACACTAATTATCTAACTAACTGAACTATTTAGAACTATCCACAATACTAAAAGAAACAGGAACCATTAACTGATCTAAGAGGGAGACACACTCCATCGACCATCATGGGCAGTAAGAAGGAACTGAGGTGGGGGAGCGCTGTCAGGGGTACTTATGCCCCGCCATGGTGGCACCACTCCAGGGGGCGCCCTGCCAACGCTACGGGTACCGCTAGGGGAAACACTCCAGAAGACGCGGTGCACGTGGTGCGCACACCTAATTCAAATGGACATGAGCAACCACTCGAAGAATTATTCTTACTACATACTAGTAATCCCTAATTTGCAAGGGCATTAATTAATTCCCTAGCTGAGACAAAAGCAAGGAAGAAAAGGTATTTGAATAGTACTCCCTCTGCTGGTCAGATCATTCTACTGCAGCAGAAAATTCTGCAGGAAAGGCTGAAAGAAAATTTGTCATCAGCAAGTATTAATTTTACCCAAAAATACATTTTTTCAGGCCCAGAACTATTTGCAAATTCAGTCCAACTTTGGCAAACTGCTTTAGCCAAAAGACATGAAGAGTTTCAAAAGCACCCAATCAACTCCATATTTTGTCAATCAAACCAAGCAAATGTTTCTGTTTTTCATTTTGCAGGAGGGGAGGGGTAGAAGAAAAATTAGTTTTGGTTCAAAACATACAAGGATTTTTTTTTTTTTTGGTTCAGCTACTACACCAAATTATTATTTGCTCAGCTTCAACTGAAGACTCACGCATAATAAATTTTACAATTATAATGCTTTCCATTAGGCTCTTAAGCATCTTACCGACATCACACAAGGTATTTATAATATGCCCCAACACCTACAGCTATTTATCCAATCTACTTTGTGACACTTGGCTATTTCATTACTTTATTTAGTTCTTCCATTTATTATAAAGTGAACAAACCGTCCTGATTTTAAATTGATTTGAGGGTTATGGTCTATGGTTCATTGCAATTCCCGGTTTCTGCACATACTGTAGAGTCGGTATTTTCACACAGATGAGCTTTCAATGGACACTTTAATCCAGAAAACCAGAATAAGGGCTATTTTATATTCGCTAGCTACATTAAGCACAAATAGAATTGTCCCATATGACCCATCTATGAGCTCAGAATAGGACTCTGAGCCACAGTTACCTGACAGAGATAATCCTTTCCAAACTGGGTAAAATGCCACGTTACTTTTGGTCACGTCCTCTCCTGAAGCTCATCAGGCAGAGAGCAGACAGACAGGTAAATGGTGGTGCTTTAAAGTGTTACATTACTTTCTCTTGAATGTTCAAATTTCTAGTATCTATCCATCATTGTTTAGTGTTGGAAGAACCATCATTTTCACCTGTCTAAGTGGTCCCATATCCAGGCAGATAGCCCAACCATATTTAACAGTGTTAAATAGAAAAGAATTTAGCAATCAATTAAATCCCGACAATCCTGTGAAAAAGGTGATTATTCTCATTTTACAGAGGAAACAGGAGCAGTGAGGCAAAGCAATTTGATCAAGGTCACACAGTAAATTAGTGGCACGGCTGAGAATAGAACACAGGACTCAGTCCTGTGCCTTACCCAAAAATGTTGGACTGTCAATTAACTGCAGTTAACTCACATGATGAACTCAAAATTAATCATGATTAACTGCAGTTAACAATATCAACTGAAAGTAAATATTTAACATTCTTCTACATTTTCTAATATAGCATGCAATGCTCAGTAATTACAAATCTTTGCACTATAAAATGATAAAATAAATAATATTTTTCAATTTCTCTAATATAAGGACTGTCATTCCATCTCTTTATTGCATAACATACAAGTGTAGAATTTTTTTTGTTAAGTTAAACCAAAAGAATGTAAATTTTTAGAATCTACAAGTCCACTCAGTCCCACTTCAAACTTGTTTCTTTTAGTGACTAGCTGAACAAGAAAAAATTACAATTTTGGGGGGGAAATGCTTCCTGCTTACAATGTCACCCGAAAGTGAGACTAGGCATTCATGTGACTAGGCATTCACTCTTGTAGCTGGTATTGCAAGGTATTTACAGGCCAGTTGTGCTAAATATTCATAAGCCCTTGCAAGCTTCAATCATCATTCCAGATGACATGCTTCCATGTCAATGATGCTCTTTACAAAAAACTAATGCATTAACTTATGACTGAACTCCATGGAGAACTCGGTCTCCGGTTCTGTTTTACCTGCCATACATTTCATGTTATAGCAGTCTTGGATGATGACCCAGAACTTGTGTGTTTTAAGAACACTTCCACAGCAGATCTGACAAAAAGCAAAGATGGGACCAATGTGGGATTTCTAGACATATCTGATGTGCAGTGCAAAAATCCTGAAAGGGATACGGTATGCACACACTTTCAGAAGTCTTAAAAGAGCTACACTCCAATGTGGAAACTACGCAACCCAAACCAAAAAAGAAAATCAGCTTTCTGCTGGTGCCATCTGACTCAGATGATGAAAATGAACATGCATCGGTCTGTTCTGCTTTGTATTATCATCAAGCAAAACCCATCATCAGCAAGGGCACATCCTCTGGAATGGTGCTTGAAGCATGAAGGGACATAAAACCTTCCACACATCTGGTACGTAGCTGGCATCAGAAGATACTTACAACAGTGTAATTTGAACACCTGTTCTCATTTTCAGGTGACACCGTAAACAGGAAGCGGAAAGCATTATCTTCTGCAAATTATAACCAAACTTGTCTGTCTTAGCAATGAGCGGAACAAGAAGTAGGACTGAATGAACTCAGACTCTGAAGTTTTATTTTTTTAACACAGTTATTTTTTGTACATAGTTCTACATTTGTATGTTTATCGTAAAAGTTGACACACCTGCACCTCAGTACTTATATTAGGTGAACTGAAAAATACTACATAAAGTGAGCACTGTGCACTTGATATTCTGTGTTTTAACTGAAATCAATATATTTGAAAATATAGAAAACATCCAAAAATATTTAAGTAAATGGCATTCTATTAACAGCATCATCATTAATCACATTCGTGTTCTTAACTGCTTGACAGCCCTACCAAAAAGGCTCTCTCCCCCCTAAGCAGGGCCTTTAACTCTGGCCAGGGGCTATATGGAATTAGATAAACAGATCTGAAATTTTGGGTCTGAGTCATTTTCTCAAATATCTATGGAAGGGGGTATGGAGGCTGTAAACCTATAGCTAGAAATTGTCAAGAAAAATTAAAAAACACCTTACCTTTTCCTGCTCCAGTAACTGTTGCAGGTTTGCTTTGTATTGGGGAGTTTTCATGTACGCCATGAACTGCATGTACTGGATCTTAAAAGAGTCTGTAACACAAATGCATGGATGACAACTTCATTGGACGCAAGGGGAGAAAAATATATTTAAGACTTGTGTTTTGGACCACCATTGCTCACTACCGCTTTTTGCATCAAAACATCATCAATTATTTTATTTTAAATTTGCACCATCTTTTGCCCTATGAATGGTTATTCCAATAATGTGTTTTCCTTTGCAGGAAAAAGAATGTTTTAAGCAAACTAACAACTTTCTCCAATAGCAGATTACTCAAGAGTCTTAGCTGGTCTGTGCGTCATGCATTAACCACATAGATTAGCTCCCTCATTATAACATTTCTAAGAGCACATTTTCAGGAAGCAGGCAGGAAGCTGATGGACTCTAATGATGTGTGTGTTGAAAAAGGAGTTTCTTAATGGACTGTAATGAAAGCATGACCAATAAAACAGGCAACCCATTATCAGGATAGGAGTACACTCACGGTGCTCCAACATCCTTCCAGTCTCTCAGCCGAGGGTCATTCTACTCTCTCTCCTTCATAGATAAACCTCTACTTCTCTCTTCCTCTCCACCAACCTTCAGCCATGCTCTGGGGTTGCCTTGCCTTGGTTAACTGTAATCTCCCTAACCACAATGCACCTCCTCAAGTCTATCCATCAAGCCACTGCTGAAGGTGACCAGTACACTCCTGATCTCTTCACTGACCTCCAAGGCTGTGTGTCTTCACAGATCTCAGTCCTTGTTGTGTCCTATACTTTGCCATTTCAACTCACTTTACTGCTCCTCACAGGTCTCGCCTAGAAGGAACTTGAGGTTTTTTCTGCATGCCATCTTTTGTGTCTGGAACGGGCTCTCTCACCCATGTAGCCTCACTGCCCTCGAACTCTGGAAGCATCTGATTACATTTTTCTACTTAGCTTTCTAGTTTGGGAAAACAAAATTCTGACCACTCCCGCCCCCAAGTTCCTTATTCGTTAAGTTAGTTGGTGTCTTTCTAGGACAGTAATATGGCTTCCTGTTGACTCCAGGCTCCTTTTCTCTTGTGCCACTTGAGAACTGAAACCCAGCCAAATGCAACATATGTAGACCGAGGCTTCAACTTTAACATGCAGAAGAACAGACACATTGGCAATGACGGAGGCTGGAGGAGAGCTGGAGGGTGTTCCCTTTTCTTCTGCAGTGGTAAGCATGTGAGACCAAGACTCACTGTAGGAACAATAGCTCCTTAGTTATTATAAGGTTAGCATCTTCACTGGAAAGGTTCTTGTAAAGGATGGCAACACAGTCCACATTTTTAAAACACTTATTCACTTGTATTTTAGTGCTGGTGAAATACTTTGTTTAAAGAAACAAGAGACTGAATCTCATTTATCCACAAGATACATATAGCAGGAATCTGCCACTGCTGCCCACACCCCAATGGACATCATCCGTATTCTGAAGGGCTATTCCTAAGAGCAGGGGTGGGCAATAATTTTTGACCGGGGCCACTTCAAACATTTCTGAAGTGGCTCTGGGCCACCCTGGAAGGGGCAGGGCCAGAAAACTTCTGTGCTTCCCCACCCACCGGCCCTAATTGGTCTGGGGTAGGAGAGCACACAAAGTCTTCCTCCCTCTTCCCCCTCCCACCCCGCCCCAGCTATTCTGAACAGCTGGGAGTTCCCTCTAAGTGCCTGTGCCCCTGGCGGGAGACTTTGCTTGCTGCCCCCAGATCAATCAGGGCATGGGGAGGAGGAGCATGTGAAATTTCTCGCTCTCTGCCCCGCCCTGAAAGGGAGCACCATGCTGTGTCAGCCACCAGCTGAGCAGCAGCTGGTAGTTGACTAAGTGCTGAGCCCCTTGCAGGGCGGAAGGAGACTTCATGCGCTCCCCCTGGCCCCAAACCCTGTCTGGCCCGGGGTTGGGGAGCACGTGAAGTCCCCTCCCGCCCTGCAATGAGTGCGCAGTGCTTCTATGCGCCACACACTCCTTGCAGGGTGGGGGAGGGCGGGAGGAGATTTTGCACACTTCCCCCCCTGCCACCTCCAAGCCTTAATTGGCCTAGGGGCAGGGGAGCAGCTGGGCCTCCACAGGCCAGATCAACTCACTTGGCAGGCTGGATCTGGCCCACGGAGGCCCTTTTGCCCACTCCTGACTAAGAGCAAAGTGGTCTCACCATTGCACATTCAGTCCCTGCTGGAATTGCCAACAAAAGGGACACAAGGGGGAAAAAAATGAGGACTCCCACCCCACCCCAACCAGTTTCACAAAGGCCAAACAGCTGCCTGAGCACTGACTGTAGGGGACTTGAGGTGAAATGCTCCATATCCCATTACTTACCATTCCAAATGCCAGTATTTTGCACATCATTGTTCTGTATTAAAATTACCGCCTTTTCCCCCAAAATTAACGTTTTCATGTTTCATTGCCTCATAGCAACATGGTACATCACAACCAGCACCAAGACAGCAAACTGTGATCAGCCCATTATTGACTCCTTTCACTCTCTGTGTAAGGAGGGGAACTTACCTAGCAGCTTCTGTAGTGCAGGAGGGGTAGGAGTCACTAACAGTTGGTTAGGCGAATGCCGTTGCACTTTAGGAGGTAGTTGGTAATATGGACTATGAGGTGACTTGTATGCATCTAAAGGAGAAAGTTATGCAGACTGCATTTAAAATAATGAAACAGCAAATGAAGAAGCCTTTTGCCTTTTTTACAACACAGAACCCAGTAACTTGGCCAGGTGCCTGTCACACAACAGATCAGCTTTTGAAATACAAATCCTGAGTGTAACCAATACATCTGCAAAGGCAAATTTTGCCAACCATGCTGTTCCACTGTCCCCCCCCCCCAACCCTGCCTTCTGGTGATGTCTGGATTAGCATTAACAGCCAGCTGTCTGAGTGTCAATCATCCCAGCTGGAAAGCTGGTGATACAATGACACAGTGCAATAAGAAAAAGAGAAGGGATGTACGTGAAACTGACAAGAAAGAATATTTGGAAATCTGTCGCCTCCAAATAAAGAGCTCTGAGCAGTCCCTCTTAAGATGAAAACTTTCCTGGACAGTAACTGAGACTAACTATGGAAAAGGCTCGTCTGCTAAGGACTGCCAATTTCCTCAGCTTACCCTGAGGAGAGGATGAGGATGTCTGTGACACAGTTTGAGCATGCAGAAGCTCCAGTGCAGTTTGGTTCTTCTTGGTCTTGCGCTCTGTATTTGCGGTGTTCATTTTCTTGGGACGTCCTCGCTTCCGCCCTGCCATTTTCCTTCCTTTCTTACTCAGCTTTTTCTTGCGTGCTTTGGAAGGAGATGTCTTTTTAATGGCATTTGTCCCAACTTTTTCTTCTTCAGCACCAGAATCCTAAAGAAATATTAGAGATAAAGCTTTTTAACATTTAGTATTTTACCTTTGCAGAATATTAGTTAATCTTTACAACACTCTTAAGATAAGTATCAACCCCATTTTATAGAAGGGAAATGGAGGCACATAAAGCTACAAATAGATCATGGTTAGATCAGGGGTTAGAATTGTTCCTAGCACCCAGTACGCTAGCTCTCCCCTGGATCCATCTATCACAGAGCAAGGGTTCCAACACTGATCCACACAACCAGCTGCTCATAGGGAATCTTATTTTAATGTAGTTTAATAGCTCGAAAATCAAAGCTGAAGTCACATTCAAAACTTTCCTCCTCCTACTTTTCCACATGAACAACTGCTACTTGTGCCACAGGGATATTAAGCAATTGGGAATGGGAAGGGCAGTAGCCTGCAAAAATAAGGCTGGGAAAGCATGTTCTCCACATACCAAACTACTAAAATGTGGTGTGGCCCTTGAATATGTAGAGCCTGTCAATACAGTGAACCAGACCAAATACATTAATAAACTATTCCAGAAGCGCTTTCACAGCACACTAATTATTCTGGAATCAAGTGACTTGCTTCAGAACACTGTATCCATGCGTGGAGCTCTTTAGGAACAGATTTTTCCGGTCATGCCCTATGTAATCAAGCTTGTATTGTTGGTGCAAATCTCAAGCTTCTGCCATAATAAAGAGCACATGATTCTGTGTGAATATTCAAGAGGGTGTGGACCTTGTTATCTTGCACCTTCGTTGGAGTAGTTGTGTTGCTCTTGTTTTCTCTTTGCTGGCGACGTCTAGCTGCCTCTTGTTCCTCCTAAAGACAATTTAAAATAAGGCATTAAAAAAACCCACCCACGAATAAGCCCAAAAGACAGCAATATTATTTTCCCTTTGGAAGTACAGACTCCAATCTTGCCAACCTAGTTTCAAGAATAATCATTCTGACTAGTCATTGTATAGTAAGGAATGACAGTAAGGAATACTTTTTTTTAGTAAGCAGGAAAACAATGGCTTTATTCTGTTCCACACAATAGCAGGTGGGAAAAGGAAGGTAACCTGAATTAGTTTTATGAGCTATACTATTCCATGGTAGTCTCCTAAGCAGAATCCATGCAGATAAGCAGTCACAAGCAAAAGAGAGAGGACCACACATTTTCCACCTTCATGGAGTTAGGTCTTTGTACTTCTAAACAAAAGCCTCTATCAGTGACCTTATCTATAGCCAACATATCACGTGTTGTTGCATCACGGCAGCATCTTTGAGGGCCCTGTCATATCAAGTCATGAGTCAACTCTTTGAAAGACAGCCTAATTAAATCCTAGCCAAGTCTGTAGACAAGATAATCAAGATGAAAAGTAGCTGAAAAAGCTCCATTCCTGCCTAGCC